AGTGTGGTTTGGGTTATATGTGATGTGGTAGAAGTTACCCTGGACTGGTTCCTAGAGGGTCTGGCAGCAGGCTCTGCCCCACACTTACAGACATATGACGTCTTTGAGCTTCGTGGCCTTCTCCTGTGTGATGGGGATATTTGGGGAAGCACTGGGCGTCCCGTACTGCAATGAACCAGGTTCTCGTCTGGCCCTTTGGCCCCCAGAGGGGTCAGACGTTGTCAGCAGGAGGCCTCTCCTTAGAGTCTGGTCCAGAGCCAGGCTGCCGCAGGGATGCTGCTGTTTCCTGCCTGACCGGCCTTCCGCCGCTGCTCAGCAGCTTCCTCGCTTGGGCCACCACTTACCTCGATTTATCCAGCGTTCGTGCAGTTTCTGCTTCATCTAGGAAAGCACAGTGCTAGCAGAGGTGCAGAGGTGACTGGGGGGTGGGACCTGCTTGGTCTGGTGCAGAGAAGGACGAAACTCACTGTCACTCCCCTGTGTGGTAAGCACGTGGGAGGGGATATAAGGCCGGGGGTGGTGGGCAGGCAGGGACCCTGGTGAACCAGGGCTGGGGAAGGGGCCTTCTGGGCAGAACAGCAGCCTGGAGGGTAGGGCTGGGCCAGGCTCTGCATGGCTGTCCAGGGTCAGCCAGAGTGATGTTTGTCACGGGAGGGTGAGTGAGGGGTCGGTGCTGGGATGATGAGACGCGGCCAGAGCTCTTGCTGTGGTGGTGGTCCCTAAGAAAGCGACAGGAAACTCGCACTGGGGAAAACTCGCACTGTGGTCGGGGCCGCTACTTTTCGGGCCTTGCCCCTGAGCCTTGTACACAGAAGCACTTGGCGCTGCATCGACCGTGCATTCAGAGGCTGGGGCATAGCCAGGGCCCTGGGCTTTAGTGTAAAATAATTTATATTTAGCATTCTTCTCTGTAAAAGAACTGTATGTTTTACTGTGAAAGTGATGTTTAAAGTTATTTGTCATTTAGATGACTTAATTTTTTCTCAGCAAACCCCTGCTACTAATGACTGGGGGACTGTGTTGCCCTGCTCTGTGGCTGTCAGGACCCCTCTGCACAGGGGCTGTCACTGTAGGCCATTTTGGGATAGGAAGGGTGCCAACCGGGGAAGCTGTTTGACTTGGGCTCCACTCCCAGATCTACCAGAAGTTTCTGTGGCTTACGTGAGGCATCGTGTGAATATCTTGCTGCCAGAGATGCCTACCTTTTTTGGAGCATCTGCTAGGCCCTGAGTGCGGTGCTTAGGTCTGCCGTTTTTCACCTTTCCAGCCCGGCTGGGTGTTCACTGTCACCTCCTGTTCACAGATGGAAGGTGTCAGAAGGGGGAGGTCCCCCCAGCGAGGGGTGAGGGTCAGCGAGGCGGGTGGGCTCAGTGGGTCCTGCCCTACTCCATGCACCCCGTCAGCTCAGGGTGCTGTGAGTTAACGCACCATCTGTGCATTCTGTGTCATTCCGCAGGGAGGCACCAGAAAACCTAAGGGCTGCTGACTGGATGCTGCCTGGCTGGGCTGCACACACTTCCCTTTCGGGCTGTCCTTGCAGTGTGCCCCTCTGACTCCCTGTTGGCCTCTGGTCCTTCTCCAGGTGGCAGTACTTGGAGGACAAGTGCTCTCCCAGGGGTGCAGTCTTCTGCCACCTCTGAATCAGACATGCCCCTAGCAGGCGTGTGAGCATCTGGGGGAGGTGGGGTGATGCTGGGTTCAGCCCTGGTCTTGAAGTGGCCGTGCCTGGGACAGTCCCTGCCAGCCCTCGCTTCAGCGTTGGCGCCACACCCTCTGAGTCGTGAGGCCTTTTGCTCTGCTGCTCCAGGTCACCGGCACTTGGGCTGGAACAACTCCTCTTTCCTTGTGAATGTTAATGTCTCAGAGTCTCGTTACCCGTCAGCTTTGGCCATTTTTCTTCTGTCTCAGTGGCACAGGCCTTGCTGCCCCTCCACTCAGCCAGCTGACCATTTCTTTTTGTCTGAATGTAACCCGTCTCCAAGCTTGTCACCTGTGGGCTCCTGACTCAAAATAGTTTGACTTACGACTTCTTGACTTTATGATGGTGCAGAAATGATAACATTCAGTAGAAAGCATGCTTTGAATTTTGGATTTTGCTCTTTTCCCAGGCTAGTGATACACATACGATTCTCCCTCCTGCTCCCCAAGGGCCCCGCGATCACAAGGGTGAACAGCCGATACACTGACAGCCATTCTGTTTTCCACTTTCAGTACAATATTCAGTCAGTTACATGAGATGCTCCACACTTTTCATAAAACAAGACTTCGTACTAGGTGGTCTTGCCCAGCTGTAGGCCGTGAGCGTTCTGAGCACGTTTCAGTATGTCCAGGCTGAGCTGTGATTTCTGTAGGCCCTGCATCTTAAATGCACTTTTGACTTGAGGTATTTTCAGCTCTCAGTGGGTTTATCAGTGGGTATCCCCCATCATAAGTGGAGAAAGATCTATAGTCTCTTCCCGGCTAAACAAACACTTTTTTCTTTCTGAAAAAGCAATGGGAAGCTGACGATCTTTTAACATTAATAGTTGGATACAAATCAGCAGCTATGTACTTCTGTGTGTAAGGTGGGTGGGCTGCAGAGGTCAGGGGGGCAGAATTGCTGGAAGGAGGGTAAGGGCATTGGGGACTAGCAGGCAGCTTGGCGCAGTGAGGAGGGCCAAGGGCAGCTCCTTGACCCCACGGTGACCTTAGCATCTGCAGGTGTCAGTTCGCTCTACCCGAACTCTAGCAGCACAGTGGTCCCTACTGTATAGACAGGGAAACTGAGGCACGGGGTGGGAAGTGATTTTCCCATGTTGCATGGCTGTTAAGTGCCAGAGCCTGGATTCCAACTCGGCCCTAGATGTCTGGGTCCAGAGACTGCCCCAGGCCACTCAGCCTCTACCGGAGTCCCTGGGGCGGGGCCGTCCCATGTCTGGTGTTGGACAGCGTCCCTGGCCTCAACCTCCTCAATGCTGTGACAACTAAGAGTGTCTCCAGACAGTGCCAGGTGTCCTGGGCACAGAATCATCCCAGGCGAGGACCCTGCCCTGCACCGGCTGCCTCACCTCCCAAATGCCACCTTGCTGGCCGGGATGTTGAGAGTATAGCAGATGCATTGCAAGCATTTAAACATAGGGGCAGGCAGACAGCGTGGTACCAGATAGTAAATTACCCAGATGCCACTGCCCAGATTTATCCATTATTAGTATCTTGCCCTGCTTGTTCCTATTTCTGTTTGAAAATATATATTTTGTTGTCATTGGTCCATTTGAAAGTAACTCAGAGACATTTTGACACATAATCTCTAAACACTTCAATGTGCATCCCTTAAACAAGAATATACTCTTATGTAGCCACGGTAACCGTCTTGCCTGAAAATACTAACCGTGACCCCTGATATCTGTTGTCCCTGAAATGCGTTTTGTAGGTACTTTCGTTCAGATTGAGGTCCAGTCAGACTTCATACTTTGCACTTGGTGCAAAGTCTTCCCACGTTTTTTCTCGTGACTTTTTAAAAATTTTCTTATGAAAAATTGCAGGTGTTCACGAAGTAGAATTAATGAATGGCTGTGCCTAGCACCCACAGTTCTCAACTCGTGGATCCTAATGGCTTTCTGGAAGCCAGGCTGTCGTTTAGAGAGTGTCCCATCCTGGGGATTCTCAGGGTCACTGATAAGGATTGTGGAGCCTGGCTGGCAGCTGCTGGCTGTCGCCAGTTCTTACTCCGTGGGCTGTGGTCTTGCTGAGGAGCCCAGAGTCACGCCAGAACCCTCACCAGCCAGAGGAGCGGGCAGCTGGTGTGCGGGGTGCCGGCCTCGGCTCATCTTGCCTGGCTCCTCGTGCTGGTCCTGAATCCACTTGGCTCCTTCACACCAAAAACCACAGCTGTCCCTCGGGCTCCAGCCCCTCTCACCAGGCATTTGTCCCTGCCGCCTCCCGGGCTGACCACCCCAGCATGCGCCCCGTCCCTGTGGGAAACCTTGGACTCTTGGGATACCTCACTTGGCTCCAGCTCACTTTGCCACTCACCCTTTCCTGTCTGGGCGCCCTCCCCACCCCTGAGCACACATTGTGTTTCCTAGTCACGAGCCACACAGGCCTCCTTCTCCCCAGAAATGCCCTCACTTTCCTAGCTTCCTCTGCCTGGAAGGCCCTCTCCAGTGTCCACGGGGAAGACCCACGGCTGCCAGGACGCAGGCTTCCCTCCTCCCTCCCACGGTGCTGTGCTGGGACAGGAGGTGCTTGCTCCTATGTGCGGTGCGCTGGGGTCCACGGCCACCAGGGTCCTGGCCTGGGACCGGGATTCGGGGCTGGGACTCCCTGGCATCAGTGTCGAGAACGGACGGCCGTGTGCTCTGAAGGAAGCAGTGACTCGGGGTGGACGGGGTGGGGCTGCAGTGGACGAGGGAGCAACAAGGGGTGCGGGTGGGAGGGTTCTGGCCGTGGTCCCTGGTCACCCATGGCTCCTTGCGGGCAGGGTGTGTGCGGTCAAAGATGTAGACTCAGGTGAGGAGTTAGGGTGAGGGAGGGTCTGGAGACCCCGCAGAGGGCACCAGGAGCCAGACAGCCTGGCAGAGCTGCGTCTGGGGAGGCCGGTGGGCTTGCCCTGCACACCTGCTGTTGTCGTGCACCCTTGTCTTACGTGAGGCGGCTGATAGCCAGGACCCCAACCTGTGGCCAGCTGTTCTGCAGGCACTTCCTAACGTTCTGAGCAAGTGTCCACCATTGATGGTCCCAGACACCCGTCCTCCGGGCTTTCTGGCCTACTGTGCGCACCTTGCCCAGTCAGGTCACGTGGGCCAGGAGGATGGCGGGGATAGGCCATGCAGGACTACTCTTCCCCAGAAAGCCCCCAAGTCCACCTCTGCCAGCCCACACCTCCTGGCTGCCTCTGGCCACCATTCTTGGCTCTGCGGGGTTTTCCTCGAGGATCTGCACTTGCTGTGTGTGGCCTTGCTGAGATGAGCAGAGCTGTCAGCCCCTCTTTTGGGACAATAGGTCATGGACATTTTCCTTTGACTTTTGTGTTGTTTTGCATCCTTGAAATTGTCTACAGGGCTGTGTATTTTGGCTAGAAAGTGGCTGGAAAGTCAGTTCCTTATTTGACCCAGTGTTCATAGTAACATTAACATCTGTGCTGTGGGCTGTGACTTGCTTTGCTCTAAAAACTGAGAATTTTCAGTTGGGGAATTTGTGGTTGAGAGACTCTTAAGGCCCCATAATTCAAATAAGATTGGGCAAGCAAGACTTCCACAAGGCGCAAGAGAGCCAGGATGTTCCCGCGGCCACAAGTAGGGCAGCGCCTTGTGCAGTCCCCCTGGCGTTTGGCCCCTCTCCATGAGCTGCTGGCTGTGGCACATCTGGTGCCCGGTCTTCCCCTCCCTCCTCCAGTAGAAGCTTCCCAGGTCTCCGCCTCTGCCGTGGTCTCAGCAAGTGGAAGCTCTTTGTGCCTTCACTGGCTTTCTGAACAGCGAGTCCACAAGGCGCAGCTTCCTCCTGGTGTGTGCTGATTCTTGACACTTCCTCGGGAAACAGAATGCCTGTCCGAGGCCGCTGGTCTCAGCAGCAGGAAACAGCAGAGTGTTAGGGGCAGGGACGGAGGGGATGTTGGAAGGCAGGCATCTCTAGTGGCCTGTCAGTGCGTCCGAGGAGGAAGCCCCTGGTGCAGACTGCCTTCTCTCGTGTGACGCTTTTGACCTCAGGCTTGGTCTTACAGGTGGGTTGTCTCTACCTTCCTGAGCCAAACACAGACAGACCCCAGGAATCACTGACAGCCTCAGAGATATGTTTGTGGGGAGGTGGAGGGAGCCCAGCCTCTGACCATGTGCGTTCTGCTCACTTTGCAGTCCCAACTCTGCCACTTCCACTTAGCACTGCTGCAAAGCAGGCCGAAGCCTTGGCCGTCCCCTGCCGCCTTCTTCCAGAGAAACCTCAGGGTCCCACCTACAAGATGGTGAGTTCCCCACAGCCACAGGCACCTTCCAGGGCACATGCCCTTCTCCAGGTGGGGATGACCTCTGCTGTGGGGCCTGAGGCTGGACCTCTTCTGTTCACACCCCAAGACAGGAGGTGCTTGCTCCTGCATGCGGTACGCTAGGGTCCTCAGCTTCTAGGGTCCTGGCCTGGGACCGGTGTTTGGGGCTGGGACTCCCTGGCAGTAGCATCGAGAGCAGATGGCCGTGTGCTCTGAAGAAAGCAGTGATGGTCCCAGAGTGGACGGAGGTGGGGCTGCAATGGACGGGGGAGTAGAAGGGATGCAGATGGGATGGAGGGGGAGGAGTGGGAAAGTGGCCAGAGGTGGGGCTCAGGCCTGGAGCAGCAGAGTAGTCACCCAAGCGCTTACTCTTGCTGACGGTCGGGTGGCTCGGGGCTGGGTGCTGAGGCTCCCCTTGGGTTCCTCTCCCTTTGGGTTCCTTGTGTTAAACTCCCACCTTATTCAGTGTGGGCTGCCTGTGCATCTCAGCCGGGCTCTGCTGTCCTGACACTTGCAGTCCAGTTGGGCCATCAGCCAGGGGGACAGTAGCTGTAAGTCTGTACAGTGTAGGTGGCCCTGGTCCCACGAGGGTCACAGCCCTGCCCTTGAGCTGATTCCTGTGTAGCCTGTTTTCTGTGTCCACTGGCCCCTTGGAGCCTAGAATCAGGTGTCTGTGGGTATCAGGTAAGGGGACTTGGCCCTGATGGTCAAAGCGCTGAAGTGACCACACAGGCGTCTGGAGTGGATGCTGCCTGCAGAGGCTCCCAGTGCAGCGGCTGGGACAGGCTCTGTCCTGGAGGGCCGGAGGCGGGAGGGACAGAGGGGCAGGGCAATAAGAAGAACCCGGGCTGTGTATCTGTCGCCCTCCAGGTCCTTGAGACCCCAGCCCCTGTGGAAGAAGGCGTTCTCGGCCACTGCGGTGGGGGTACCCCTGCTCCTGGGAGTGCGGTATTTCACAGCTGAGCCACAGGAGAGGAGGAGGATGCGACTCACGGTGGACGGCATCGGGCGCTTCAGCAGGTAGGAGGGGCGGGCAGCACCGCACTTTCTCTCTGCCAGCCTTGTCCTCTGACATGTGGGCCTTGAGCTGGGCCTGGGAGGGGCTGCGGGATTTTGCTGGGAACTTTTGAGCTCCCTTCCAGGTGTCTGGGCTACCTGGTGGGGCAGCCAAGCAGGCAGATCCACACTGGCCACATGAGGCACGGCCTGCACACACCCTTCAGGCCCACCCCTGCCCCAGGCCTCTGCCCGTCTTCCTTCTCGCTCCCCTACTCTCCCAAGGACAGTTGGCATCCAGACAGTTTGGGGCTCAGAGGGGAGGGCTGCCATGTCTGGTCACTCATGTCAAGGGTGCCTTGAGCCAGAGGCGCCCCTCACACCCTATACGTCCCAGGCAGGACACAGGGTGGGACCATATCCTTGTGGGGGCCCTGTGGGAGGGCGCTTCTGCCCCCCTAGATCCAGAGGCTCCTTCAGCCGCATAGTCCTGAGGGCAGCTCTTAGCCCTCGGTGGAGCCTCAGTCTACCCAGATGCAGCATTGGAGGGGGTTCACACCTGCCCGGGGAGGGGCTCCCATGAGTCCTTGTTCAGGAAGCTGCTGGGGTGTGTCCCGCTCCGCCAGCTCCGAATGCCTGCTGCCCCCGGGATGCCAGGCGCCTGGGCCCTCGGCTGAGCTTCACTGAGATTTCCCAAAGCAGCTGAGGCAGGCAGGTGGCTGAGTGCTTTACCTCATCCCACCTTAGGGACGAAGCGAGCCCTTCCTTCCTCAGCTTGCTGGCAGAGGCTGTGCCCTGACAGCCCCAGTTGTCTTTTGATGGGTGGGTTTGCCTGGAGCTCCTAGCCACCCTCTTCCACAGGGCTCCCCAGTCTCCACAGCCTGGAGGTGCATGAGGGCAGAGGCTGGCATGGGCTCACCTGTGAGCCTGCCCCGCGGGGACTGTCCCTGTGCAGCCTGGCTCTGACGTACGCTCAGCAGGCCTGGGCCAGCCCACTTCCCACCTCATCTGCGCTGCTGTTCCCTGAGTTAGACCCAGGGCAGGCTCCGGTGCCTGCCTTGTCCACTTCCCTCCTGAGAAGGGTGCTCTCACAGCTGGCCTCAGAGGCTGAGCCAGGGTTGGTCGGGAGGGTGCTAGAACTATTATCTTCCCAACTGTCTGCACGTTCTTGTCCACTCTGAGCCCTAGCAGTCGCTGGGACACAACAGCCCAACGGAGCGCCCCTGGCTGGGTGTGGGGGTACCACAGGGCCTCTGGGACCTGCAGCACATCCCGGGTAACGGGGCATTATACGTGCAGGAGCCCCAGGAAGGCGTAAGGCAGGACCAGCTCGCCAGAGGGAGGTGGGAGCTCGTTCTGCTGTGGGAGAGCAGGGACCAGGCCACACCTCATATGCCCAGGTGCTGGCGGGTAACAGTGGCATCGGGCCCCTGGTTTCTTACAACACCCCTTACTTAATTTTAACTTTTAAAAATCCTGTGGGCTTTTTTTTTTGACACAATTTCAAATGTCCAAAGAAGTTGAACTAATAATACAAAAGAACTTTTTTCTTGTTGAAACATTTACAAAGTTGTCACCGTGCCCTGAAACCTTGAGTGTATTTCCTAAACAAGGACTTTCTCCTGCACAACTGCGATCAGGAAACTGATTGTTCTGACCCTCTCACCCTCAGACCCCTTCCTGTATTACCCGGCTCCCCAGGAACAACCTTTTCAGCACAAGGACCTGGTCCAGGGGCCACGTCTGATCTCCTCCATTCTGGAACGGTCCCTCAGTGCCTCCTTGGTTCTCATGGCTAAACTCAAGGCCAGGGCACGGTCCCGCCAGACCCCTAGGGCTACAAATTGGGGGAGGGGGTCCCAGCAGACTCCTCAGTTCTGGCAGTTCCCTGGGAGAACTCGAGAAAAGTGCTGTGCTTATGATTATGGTGTGACTATAGCCAAAGATACAAATCAGAACCAGCAAAAGGAGGAGGCACACAGGCTGAGGTCTGTGAGGTCCCAGCCTTGGAACTTACACGTCCTCAGACCCATCAGCTCCTGTCGTCCCCGTGACGTACACGCGGCTCACCCCCAACCTCTGGTGTCCAGAGCTTCTCTTGGAGTTTCATTACACGAGCCTGATTGATTGGATTATCAACCACTTGGCTCAAAGCCTCTAAACCCCAGCCACTCCAGTTTCTGGCTGGCAGAGCCCCTTGTTGGCATAAACTTTTTTTTGATAGAGGTGCTGGGTATTGAACCCAGGACCTGGTGCCTGCTAAGCACACACTACTCTTGAGCTGTAACTCCCCCACCAGGTGTGAACTGCCCAGGCTGTGATGAGCCTCAGACACTGCTGTCGCTCAGGAAGTCACGTGGGTTTGGAGGCAACCTTCCAAGAGCTGGTGGCATTAACTATGTCACATGATGACCTTGACACATCTTGGGGTATGGGTCATAACACTGTACAGTGAGCCCCGCGCCAAATGCAGGGCTCACAGGTGGCGGCTGCTGACCCATAAAGAGCTCCTCGGAGTGACAGCGGTGCCCCTGCGAGCGGAGGCCACCGGGCCACATTTACTGTCTAACCTCCTAAAGAGAAATCTTGCTGACCCCGGTGTGGGTCTGTCAGCTAGTGGACAGATGGGGGAGTGGGCACAGGACTTCTGTCTGTCCCGTTGGCGCCTACGCCCATCTGCTGCTAGCTCAGCACCTGTGGCACTTCTTGGGTGAATTCACTCGTACTGTTATGGTCGCCATGCAGTGGTTCTCAGGTTCAGCCATCCCCCAATGCCTGGGCTGGCATTCTGCTGAGAGGAGACCTGTGTTCTCCCCATTCGCCTCACTGGCTTGGTCACATCAGTCTGGGCTTGTGGGTCTGCTCTGGGACAGCCCTCAGCTCCAGACCTCAGGTCCCAGTCTGAGTGCAGAGGCGGCGGGACCCAGTGTGTGGGCATGTCCACAGCCATGACAGCTGTGCTGGCTCCTGGGTACTACTGAGCGTTTGCAACGACTGAAAAGAACATGCCTGCTTGTCAGGGCCTGGGTGCCAGTCAGTGCGTGTTCAGGGCCTTCGGGCTGGTGTGGGTGTGGGCTGCCTGTTCTGTGGACCAGGAGCTCAGGTTGACTTGCTGGCAACACTGTCCCGAGAGCCCAGCAGGCCCCCCGCACCAGGTGCTCCCATTGGTCCAAGGGGCTGGTGGGGCCTGAGACAAGTGCCTACTGGGGCTGAGGGCACCTCTGCCGGCAGGTCTTTGAGGGTCGGCCTGCAGATCTCCCTGGACTACTGGTGGTGCACAAATGTCGTCCTGCGAGGGGTAGAAGAGGTTTGTCCCTGCGTCCTGGCCTGGCTGGGCCTGTCTGTGGAGGCAGTGGGGGTGGGGGTGTCCTGGAGGAGTTGGGGGTGGAGGACCGAGGAGGTACCTGCCTGCCCCCATCCCTTCCTCCACACCTGTGGTCAGAACAGCCCGGGGTACCTGGAGGTGATGTCTGCGTGTCACCAGCGGGCAGCCGACGCCCTGGTGGCTGGGGCCATCAGCAATGGGGGCCTTTATGTGAAGCTGGGCCAGGGGCTATGCTCCTTTAACCACCTGCTGCCCCCCGAGTACATCAAGACGTTGCGGGTGCTGGAGGACAGGGCTCTCACACGTGGCTTTCAGGAGGTGAGCACTGCTCTTGGGAGAGGAGAGGTTGGGAGGTGGGGACCCCCACGCTGCTCCAAGACCACTCTCCTGCCAGGTGGACGAGCTATTCCTTGAGGACTTCCAGGCCCCACCCCACGAGCTCTTCCAGGAGTTTGACTACCAGCCCGTCGCCGCAGCGAGCCTGGCCCAGGTGCACCGCGCCACCCTGCACGATGGCACTGCTGTGGCCGTGAAGGTACGCGGGCAGCCGGGCACCACGTTGGGCACCGGGCCCTGGCGGTGGCCCTGCCTGCAGCCTCCCCCTGCAGGTGCAGTACATCGACCTGCGGGACCGCTTCGACGGCGACATCCACACCCTGGAGCTCCTGCTCCGGCTCGTGGAGCTCATGCACCCCAGCTTCGGCTTCAGCTGGGTCCTGCAGGTACCCTGGGGTCCTGCCTGGGCGGCGGTGGGCTGGCTCCCAACCCAGACCCCTGACTACCCATTGTGGCCACCAGGACCTGAAGGGGACCCTGGCCCAGGAGCTGGACTTTGAGAACGAGGGCCGCAACGCTGAGCGTTGTGCGCAGGAGCTGCAGCACTTCCGCTACGTGGTGGTGCCCCGCGTGCACTGGGACACATCTAGCAAGGTGGGCTGGGCCCCTCCCGGGCGGGGGTGCTCGGACCTGCTGAGCTCAGGCTCCTGTTCTCCCCCAGCGTGTGCTGACTGCGGAATTCTGCGAGGGCTGCAAGGTCAACGACGTGGAGGCCATCAAGACCATGGGGCTGGCGGTGCAGGACGTGCGTGCTGTGCCTGGGGGGAGGGGTACCCAGGCTGGGGGCGGGGTGCCCACGTGCCAGGTGACAGCAGCCCACCTGCCCCGCCCCAGGTCGCAGCGAAGCTGATCCAGGCTTTCGCCGAGCAGATATTTTATACGGGCTTCATCCACTCCGACCCCCACCCTGGCAACAGTAAGACAGCCCTGGGGCGGGGGGTCAGATCAGGAGGCAGGGCGCGGTGGCGTAAGCCCACGTGCCATGTCCCTAGTTCTGGTGCGGAAAGGCCCGGATGGGAAGGCCGAGCTGGTGCTGCTGGACCACGGGCTGTACCAGTTTCTGGATGAGAAGTGAGCTGGGGGCCGGGGGTAGGGGGGTACTTTCCCCCACTGCTGGGCTTTCCAGCCCTGGCTCACGGCTGGGCCCCCACAGGGACCGGTCCGCCCTTTGCCAGCTGTGGAGAGCCATCATTCTGAGGGACGAGGCTGCCATGAAGACACACGCAGCCGCACTCGGTGTGCAAGGTGAGGCCGGGGGCAGGTGTGAGGCATGTAGGGTGCGCAGCCCTGGCTCAGGCCCCCCCCCAGACTACTTCCTGTTCTCCGAGGTGCTTATGCAGCGGCCTGTGCGCCTGGGGCAGCTGTGGCGCTCACACCTGCTGAGCCACAAGGAGGCGGCCTACATGCAGGACATGGCGCGGGAGCACTTCGAGGACATCATGGCTGTGCTCAAGGCCCTGCCGCGCTCCATGCTACTTGTGCTGCGCAATGTCAACACCGTGCGCGCCATCAACACTGCCCTGGGTGCCCCTGTTGACCGCTACTTCCTCATGGCCAAGAGGTGGGGGCCAGGGAGCCGGGGTGGGGGGCAGGGCCAGGGGCCCGGCCGCGCTGACTGTGTCTCTGTGCAGTGCGGTCAGGGGCTGGAGCCGCCTGGTGGATGCAGGATACCAGAATGTCTACGGTGCCAGTGTTCTGCGCCACATCAGGGTCGTGTGGGAGACCTTCAAGTTTGAAGTGGCCCTGAGGTGAGCCAGTGGGCCGGGGGCCAGCAGGCAGGGGGCCAGGGCCCACTCCCCACCATCCTACAATGCCATGACCCACCATCCCAGGCTGGAGACCTTGTCGATGCGGCTCACCGCCTTCCTGGTTCGAGTCCTGGTCCACCTGGGCCTCATGCCCAAAACCGAAGGGCTGTTTGAGTACCTGGAGACCTAGGGAGCCTGGGACAGGAGGACTGCAGAGCTCGCCGGGCCGCGGGCTGACTAGGCTGGCTGGGCCAGAGGCGTGGATACCCAAGACCTGAGTGCACTGGAATGACCGGGGCTGTGCAATGACACATGCTCTTTTCAAATCAAACAAATGTCTTTCTTTGTATTTTGTACAAAAAGGGGGTGGGAGAAGTGGCAGTATCTGGGGCTCTAGAAGTGGGCAGTGACTCGGTCTGTCTCCAACAGGTCATCCAGGATCTGTGGGGAGAGATGGCAGGTGAGGGGAGGGAGGGGGGAGGGAGGGGGAGGGAGGGGGAGGGGTGCTCACAATGTCAGGTGTGGTGCCAATCTTCTTGGCCAGCTCGCCACGCTCCATGGTGCTCAGGTACAGGTAGCGGTTGAGCAGCTCCCCGTCCAGGACATTGCGCACAGCGTTCTGTAGGACACGCCGGTCCACGTGCAGCATCCTGGGGGGCACGAGGGCAGCAGGGTCAGGACAGACCTGGGGGTGGGGTGGGGGGTGGCGCACAGGTGGGTGGTGGCTCACCGGAAGGCACGGGGGTTGAGGCCGGCATGGTGGGGCAGCATGGTGGTGAGTGCATTCTGTAGCATCAGCAGCCTCCGGTAGGTCTTCTCCTGCATGGGCAGCAGGAGCCCAATGCCGCCGTCCAGTGTGGCTGTAGGGACCCAGTGTGAGCTAGGCAGACCCCCCGCCCCCTACCACCCACCCCCGCCCAGCACTCACCGAACCACGTGATGTGCTTGTTCTCCCACACAACCGACTTCTTGCTGGGCCCCTCGGCAGCCCCCCGGCATGGGGTCCTCCAGAATGTGTTCACGTGGGCACCCACGTGGAAGTCCGCCCGGCGCAGCAGCCGCATGCCCCCGAAGCTCTCCTTGGCTGCACCAGAGGGACTGCAGGTTTCTGCCCACTCCTCACACACCCACACCTCCCACACCTGCCCAGCTGAGGTGGGAGGAAGCACTCACCTTCCGGCAGGTACATGTATACCATGAGGTTTCGGTCACGGTCAGACACTAGGGAACAGAGCCCAAAGTCAGCCCCAGCCACCCCTGAAGTCTCGGGGGCCCCACCCCAGTCCCCCAACCCTGTGCTCGCTTACCAAGGAAACCCAGCTGTGCGTTGTCCACCATGAAGTCCACACTGTACACTTCCAGGGGCTTGGCGTCCTGAAGATGTGGGGGGGTCAGGGTTGGCCTGGGGCCAGCACCGCCCCACCCCCGCTGTACAGCCCAGCCCCTCATGGTACCCGCGACACAAGGCTTAGCGTCTTGCTCTCTTCCTGGTAGCGAAGCAGCGAGATGCTCTTCATGACGTCCGCAGCCAGGATGAAGTTCTTGACACTGATCATCTGGTGGATGTAGAGCTGTGTGTCGATGAAGGCCATGCCTGTCAGCTCACTGGCCCGCAGGCTCCACAGGAAGATCTGGGGGTGGGGGTGTGCAGGCGGTAAGCTGTGGGTGCTGAGTGGCAGGTGCTGGGCTGGGTGGGGAGGTGTGCACCTTCTGGCCGATGGCCGACACCAGGTGGCCGTTGCAGTGGCACAGGGCGGTCACAGGCCCCTTCTGCTCTTTCTCGTACAGGACTTTGAACTTGTTCTTGGTGAGAGGCTGGCCGGGCTCAGGCACCACCTCAATCACATCCATGATCAGAATCTGCCAGGGAGAGCGGGTGGGTGATCCACGGGAACTGATGGGCTGCCAGGCACTGCCTGCCCCCCCACCCCACTGGCCACTCACCCGCCCGCGGCACGTGACCTCCTCCCCCTGCATGAGGCAGGTCCCAGCAGCAACATAGCCCTTGAGGCCCGACACGGTCTCCTCACTGCGCAGTGACACCGTCTTCATGCAGGTCACGTGCTCCCACTCCTCCAGCTCGATCCTGCAAGAGGCCAGGTCAGGACACGAGCCCCAAGCAGCCGCCAGCCCCGACCTGGGCCCAGCCTCACCTGGCATTGGGGATGGCCTCCCAGCTAACCGGGGAGATTAGCTGGATGGAGAAGGCCTCCTGCTGAGGGTGGATGTAACGGTCATCTGCAGGGACAGAAGGGACGTGGTTGGGGGTGGGGGGGAGGTTGGTCCCAGGAACGGCCCCACTCGGGCTACCTTGCACCTCTTTCAATAGTCTCAAACTCCTTCTCCTCGCCCGTCATGCGTGGGATGCGCGTGCACGGTGTATTGGTGCTGGTGGCAACGGCGTACACCTGGGGAAGTAGGGGGAGTCACGCCGGAGGCCTGGCTCCAGCCCCACCCGTCCCGGCAGGGGGTGGGGGTGTCAAACCTTGGACTCCACGTGGTAAGCCACGTAGTGGGCCGTGCAGCGCAGCGGGATCTTCCTGACAGGCCATGGGGCATCGTAGGACAAGTAGGCTGGCAGGACGCTGATCCTCAGCTCGCCCTGGGAAGGCATAGGGGTCAGTGAGGCCTGGGGCCACCAAAGGCCAGGCTGATGAGCCCAGCCAGGCCTCCAAGAGCTCCTTGGGGTCAGCTGTCAGCTCTCTGGAATAGGACAGAGCCCTGGAGCAGGCATGGCTCTCTGTCCTGTGCTTCATGAGCTTCCTGTCTCTCCTCCGAGGTTCCTCCGGGGTTGAGACACAGGCCACAAGTGTGGTCTGGGCCAGGGCAAGGGAGGGGCCGGACTCAGAGGGTGCTGGAGACTGCAGGTGAAGGATGGACAGCATACACACTGGCCATGCCAGGGTCTGCACAAACAGGCAGGGGAGTCCCGCCAGGGCCCCGAGGCGCTCTCCTTCTCTTAGTCCTACGTGAGCCAGCACCTAGGAAAACACCTGCCATATCTTCACCACTGAGTCCTCAGAGTGGCTCAGGGTGTCACTGCTATCCTCTTGGTGACAGAGAAGACTCAGGTTCAGAGAGAGTGAGCATCTCACCTAGACTCGCACAGCTTCTAAGGGGCAGAGGTGGGGTCCAAGCTGGCAGAGCAGTGGCTGGACCATGGCTGCCCAGGCACATGCCCTTGTGAGCTAGAGCCAGCACTCCCAACTGCCCGTCCTCCAACCTTCCCAGCATTAAGCCCCACGCTTCACCTCCTTGGCCTTGGCTCCCACCACCCTCTGGATATCCCTGACCCTCCATTCGAGGGTGCCCCCATCCCCAGCCATCAAGGGCCCCTTTCCTGGGGCCCCAGCACCGGGTCCTGCCCTGGGCAGCCTCAGTGAGACTGGGCTGCGTGGGGCCTCCCTACCTGTCTATTGAAGTACAGGAAGCCACGGGGGCAGTTGACATTGTGGAACGGGGCAAAGGAGTCGATGGGGCCATCGATGCCCATGGGGTGCAGCCGCAGGGCCCCCCGGCCAGTCACCAGGAGCCAATGGGGCGAGGGGCCACAGATGAACACCTGGAGGCAAGCGCTGTGAGGAGGCTGCTGGGGCAAGGCCCCATCTGCCCCACCCTGGGCTCCAGGAAAGCCCCCGGCCTACCCCAGAGTAGCCATAAATGTCCTCAAAGTAGCGGAACCGTGCCACACGGCTTCGCACCCCGGCCCCCTCCTCGGCGCTGCCACCTTCTGCCTTCTTCTTAGACGGCTTTGGCTTTTTCTCTCGGAAGTTGATGTTGTGGGGGACCTGGAGGGGCTGCTGTGAGGGCCAGGACCTCCCCCACCCCTGCTCCACATTCACCCTACACCTGGCACCGCCAAGACACCACACCTTCTTGAAGCGAACTTTGAGGTTCCCCTGGCCAAGCTGCGAGTCGTGGGGGAAGGCCTCGTAGATGAGCAGCTCCTGGTCCACATGCACCTGGGGACAGGTGTCGTCAGGGGCGGGGCTAGCAGGGCGGATGGGCCCCCGGGGCGTGCAGGCCAGCACTCACCAGCAGGTAGGGTCGGCGCTGGCGGCTCCCCAGCGCCACCAGCAGCACCTCCTTGACAAGCGGCAGCTCCCCCTGGCGCGTAGCCTCCTCCTTTCGGGCCTCGCCCTGTGTGGTGGGCTGACCAGAGGAGCTGTCCACCAGGACACGCTGCCCCACAGGGAAGTTCTTCACCAGGAACACCAGCCGCCAGTCGGGGAGCTGGTAGATCTGTGGAGACGCAGCAGTCAACTGGGATGGATGGGGCGGGGCCAGGGCTGCGCTGGGCACGGGGTGCCACCCACCTCCATGGTTCCGTTCTCCCGCACCAGCAGGCACCAGTGGGTGGGCTCAGCCCGGAAGGGGGCAGGGTCCCGGTCAGCAGGGGGCTGGCTGCTCCTGCGGGCCTCCTCCTTGCTGGGGCTGAAGAGGGAGCCCGAGTCCCCGTAGAGCATCTCCTCCTCGTCATCCACCGTGGGGCTGGGGGCGGCAGACATGTTGGTTACCGGCAGCCTGCCTCGGGAGCCTGGCCCAGCCTGCACCCGGGCCCCCACATACCTGGTATCTGAGCCCTGACCCTCCACCTCGGAGCCGCTGCGGCCCCCCAACTCATCGCGGGCCCCGCCTAGGCGGCTCTCGGTGGTGAACATGCCGCTGACGTCTCGGTACACACAGAGCGTGATCACCTTGGACTGCTGCGGGGAGAGGGGCAGGGCTCAGCGGTGGGGCGGGTGGGGGACAGCAGGCCCTGGGGTGGGGGAGGGGGCTTACGTGGTGCAGCGGAGGCTTGTGCAGAGCCAGGCGATGGTGGCGGCCCCCATATGAGTCATTCTTGAGCAGGAACATGGTGACGTGGCCCTCGGCACTCATGATGACCACGTAGGGGTCGGCCACAGCGCACTGCACGATGGGGGAGCCCAGGTCCACAGGGATGAAGTGCAGCTGGTTCACTGCAGACACAGGGTGGTCAGCACAAGCCAACCCTGGACCCCCTCCCCCCTGCCCACCTGGCCCAGCCCACCTCCTTCCAACAGGCGGATGCCAAGGGGCGACACTTGTACGATATAGCGATTGTCCCCGATGTTGCCAGCAAAGACCGTGGGGCCCTGTGTGGCGAAGCCGCTGGTGTCCAGCTCCATGATCTCCTGCCCCGTCTGTAGGATCTGTGGGTGATGGTGGGTGAGTCAACCTCTCTCCAGTGGGACCCCTGTCCCAGGCTGCCGTACGGGCCCTGCCCCTCACCATGGTGGAGTCTTCTCGGCTCAGAATGAGGAACCCGTGTCTCCGCCCATCGTCCTCTGCTTCAGGGGTGCTGGGCTC